GTTATACGATATGTTGAAGAATGGTGGAAAGGGTGAAGTCAGTTTGCGGGTTAAGAAGCACGGGTCGGGAGAGGAAATTATTCTTAAGACTAAGCATACTTTCAGTCCTGATCAAGCTGGATTTGTTTTGGCAGGAAGCGCATTGAACTTATTAGCAAATGCAAAGAGGTGATAGGATTGTAGACTTAAAAAGGAACCGAATCAAAACAAAAGCTAATTACCCTCGAGTTACGTATTAGTTGGTGCTTAAGTAGCATGGCTTCCGGTCTTTGAATTCTTATATCAACCTTGAAACTTGAAAGCTGTAAGTCACTTGACATTACGGAAAGTGTAAATGGGATATCTAACTAGATATATATCAGTTGCCCAGTAGAAATTATGTAGTCAAAAAGCAGTCAGGCACCGCACAAAGATGGCTATTCCCGTCCCGTTTGCGCCCCGAATTCTAGGGCGACCCTAGGGCGACTCTGTTACGTAATAAATTTCCCCGCAATCACCTAAACGTCAGCCTGGGCTCGTTGGGATAAAAATCCCGGCCTTCTCCGTGCTAATATGTAAACTCCCGAGGTCTGTTAGTTCGGAAAACAGCCAATCAGATTTTCCATAATCATCTGAACAATTGGAGCCAATGGAAGAGAGAGAAAGAGAGAGAAGAAAAAAAAAAAAGTTAAAAAGCTATGGATAGCCTTGTCGCTCTTTTTATCCTCACATATTATTAGTGTGTACTAAGTGTGCACTATGTGTGTATGGTGTCGCTTCCCGTTTCCTCTCAGCTGCCAAGTGCCTTATCACCCGTTTATCAATTTATCATGTCTTCCTCAATGCCAAGGTCATACAGAAAAGATAACCTAGCTCGAGCCTAGGAACCATTATCTCTCAAGGGCTCCGTAGCACCATCTTGGCTCCAAACTTAACATTTACGGTATGGGATCAGTTCCACTGAGCTCACGCGTTGCACGATAACAGTTCTGGGCGCCCAGACGCTTGTTGCGTGCTACAACGTTGATATGTTGATATCAATCAAAACGAGCAAAAGGAGATAAAAGGCCCGGTTTTACCCCATACGGTATCCTTGCAAAGTGTGATCGGGGTGGAGTTTTTCTTGGTGAACCGCGAACATGCGAGGTTGCCCGAATCCACTCTGCTTCTCTGGAACTTTGAGAATGGGATCTTGGAGGGGACTTGGCGGGACCGTAATCTTGATTATTATGATTTATTATCAATTTTCAAGCGGTCTCATTAGTTCTATCAGTGAATCAATAATCGATCGGGATGATCATTTGCTATACCTAGTGCGTACTAAAAGGCTTTAGGTCGACTATCATACGGCAAGTCTAGACGTTATTATTTCTACCAGGAGCCTCCTAGTGCATACCCGATGCTGTCATATAGATAGTTGAGATCTCCCACTTATTTGTTGATCTTCCTTTCGATTGTTCTGAACTTCATCCTTCTACTCTTCTCCTTTCCCCCACCTCTTCTTTCCAGACTTTGGCATCTATCTGTCTTCCTTGCAAAGGGATCTTGATTTCAACAGATATTTCCAAAGATGGCGGCACACGTTTCACGAGATTACTCGCCCTCGAGTGCAGAGAAATCAAGTTATCCCATCGAGCACGAACGAGCAGGCATTCAAGATGTCGGCGAAGATAATGATCCAAATCACAATCTTCATCGTGGTTTGAAGTCTCGACAGATTACTATGATAGCAATCGGTGGTGCTATTGGAACTGGATTAATTATTGGAACGTACGTATTTGCTTTCTTTTCAAAGAATTTGTCACTACTTCCTTGCATACGAAGTATTGCGAGAGGCGTTGCTGACACCATGCTGCAGGGGAAAAGCCCTTGCTCAGGCAGGTCCAGCGCCACTCTTGATAGGCTATTCGATTGTTGGATTATTATGCTTTTTGGTCATGGCAGCTCTCGGTGAGGTAAGTTGTTTGTGAAAAGCTTTGTGAAATGAACAAGTGCTGACAATATGAAAGATGGCTGCTTGGTTGCCTTTACCAAGTGGATTTACCGGTTATGCTACCAGATTTGTTGATCCCGCTCTAGGATTCTGTTTAGGATGGTAATTTCAAAGTCTCCCTATACTCAACTAGCATATGCTAACAAGCTTCAGGAACTATTGGTTCAAATATATCATCGTCACTCCTAACAACCTTACAGCCGCATCTTTAGTTATACAATATTGGCTACCAAGAGACAAAGTCAATCCCGGTGTCTTCATTGCTATATTCTTGGTTGCCATCGTCTGTATCAACTATTTTGGTGTGAAATTCTTTGGAGAATTCGAATTCTGGTTGTCAAGTATCAAAGTTATTGTGATCCTAGGTCTCATCATCTTGAGTTTGGTCCTTGTATGTGGAGGAGGACCGGATCATCAGGCAACTGGATTCAAATACTGGAGTGATCCTGGAGCGTTCCACGAATACATTTTGAGTAAGCAGCTCATGTACTCGGAAAGTTGAGATACAATGCTAACATCATATAGCTGGAAACTCTGGTCGATTTCTCGCTGTCTGGTCTACTTTCACTACTGCCGTCTTCGCCTTCTTAGGTACAGAACTCGTTGGTGTAACAGTAGGAGAAGCTGCCAATCCACGCAAAGTGATTCCAAAGGCTATCAAGCTCACTTTCTACCGAATTCTCCTCTTTTACGTCGTGCTCGTCTTCTTCCTCGGCATGCTCGTCCCATACAATTCCAAACTCCTTCTCGACAGTAACACAAAGAGCAACAGTGCATCTGCATCGCCATTCGTAGTTGCCATCAAGATCAGCGGCATCCAATTCCTCCCCGCCATCTTCAATGCCTGTATCCTCATCTTCGTCTTCTCAGCGGCAAATTCCGATCTCTACATTGCCTCCCGCACACTGTTTGGTCTTGCCTCTGAGGGAAAAGCTTTCAAAAACTTCAAACGAACCGATAGACGTGGCGTTCCCATTTATGCTCTTGGACTTAGTACTGCATTCTGTCTCCTCGCTTTCTTGGGTGTTAACACAGCTTCCTACACCGTCTTTGGCTACTTTGTCAATCTCGTCACTATGTTCGGTCTCCTCACCTGGATCTCTATCCTCATCTCTCACATCTACTTCGTACGCGCTCGCCGTGCGCAAGGAATTCAGAACACCGAATTAGCATACGTAGCACCTCTTGGCATCTACGGCTCCTACGGTGCTCTTGTCTTCTGTATCCTCATTGCCTTTTTCAAGGGATTCGCACTATTCTGCTACAAAAAGACCGCCAAAGCGGGCACCACACCCGTCTTTGATCACTCAACTTTCATCACTACATATTTGGCTATTCCATTGTACATTATCATGTTCTTCGGATACAAATACACAATGAAGACAAAGCTCTTGAGTCCTATTGAGGCGGATCTCTTCAGTGGAAAGGCGAGAATTGATGCGCAGGAACAAGAATATCTGGCGCAGGAGGCAGCTAGACGGGGTAGTAATGAGGAGACCAAGTGGGAGCGAATTTATAGGTTGACACTTGGCTGGGCCTTTTAGATTCTCGGTAAACAGAGGACAGGAGTTGTTTGGAAATAAGGGGTGGATGTTTAACTATGATTTTCAGATATTGGATAATGGATATGAAGATAATGAATTTTATGATGGAGCTTAAAAGTATATCCTATAATATGAACACATCTTCTTTATGCGAAAGTCTTTTCAGAAGTTCCAACAATGCGTATCATTAATAGCTACTAGAGAGCAGTGAACAAAAATTAAATCAGGACTCAGCGCCTAGCTAATTTCATAGCGCACAACCCAAACTCCCCCCTTTCTTCCCTTTTCGCATAATACACCACATTCTCTATCCCTATCCATCCCCACACCAGCACATCTCACAAGGCCCAACCCACCAAACCCACCCCGTACCCGTATTCGGAAGAAGGCTAAATCACACAACCCGGTAAAATCTATCCCCTCCCCCCCTCTTCAGATTCATCCGGATATATACAATCACGAGTCCCTATCTACACATACATATCACCCTAGCTAGCTAGGATAGCTAGGATAGCTAGGATCTCCCAATCACATGGCGGATAAATATCCTCTTGTTGCATATCGTATATCCTAGAATTACAGGGGGAGTCCTGGTGGGTTTTGGGGGAGGGAGGGGGGAGGAGATGGATTGGATGGTGTGTGTGTGTGTGTGGTATTTACTAGATGGTAGGTAGCTACTAGGTAGGTAGTTTTATAGGTAGTACAGTTGGATGGGATGAGATGGGATCGGTTAGCACATTTCTTTACTATTTTCCCTGCTTTATTCACGTGTTGCTTAAGCTTGCATGTGATGTATTCTTTCTTTGCTGCTGTTTGTTGCACTGCACTTAGCTACCTACTTGGGAATGATACTTCAATCGTAATTGTTTAATGTGGAATTTGCGTATCGGAATGCTTTGAATTATGAGATGGTGGACATACGTATCTGGATGTAGGTAGGTAGGTACTTAATGCTATGGATACGTATGCGCTTCTGTGAGTTTTTTTCGCTTGCTGTACGTCATTTTACGAACACTAACACTAAGAACAACAACAACACTCACTACCTAGGTACCTTAACATACTAGTATTTTCTCAAGTTGGAAGATCTTCAAGTAGCCAATTATGTATATCAGAATTCGGGCTGCATGTTGGTATATTCTTTCAAGGGCCTATCTTGGTCTTTGTAAAACGTTATACCCTTTTTTGATTGAGCATGTATGGAGTGTGTTCTGGACAAAAGATTCAAGAAAATATCTACTCATAAAATTCTCGATACAAAATTGTTTCGAGATACCCAAGAGTGGATTTCACAGGTGATAAATGGAAAGTGAAACGCTCTAATCAAGTACCTTCAGTCAAGTCTTGAAGATAATCTATCCATTCGTATTAATACTTAATCTAAAATTCATCATCCTCAAAACCCTCGGCCATGAATTCCCAATCCCCTAGCTATGAATTGGGATAAAATCATCCTCTAGACCATTCATTACCTACCGCAACCCTCACAATGACATTTTCGCAAATCCATCGAAGATTCCCATATCCTCTACCTGTTCCCTCATCACCCCTGTCTCCTCAATTTTGGTTTTCTCACTCCACTCTCCCCTCACCGTCTGCTTCTCAATATAAACTCTATGCAGAACATGCCTTTTCACATCCAAAATATCAAAACCAAACGCTCCGTCTTCTATAGCCATCTTCATGTGTTCCTCCGGAACATCCCTACACGTCTCCTCCGCAACCCGTTCTACGAATCCGTTTGCTTCTTCGAGTGTGGTATACACTCCGGTGACACTAGTTGTTGCGAGGGATTCTGCTGCGACGGGGACTGCGTCATGAAGGACCATGTAGACGTGTTGCCCCTGGCTTGATTTTTGGGGAGACATGAAGGGGGTGAAGATTATGTTGCTCGGTGTTTGTGATGGGGGTGGATAGTCAGATTCCGAGATTGTGTAAGTCATGCCGTCAGATTTTGAGGGGGTTGTTGTCATTGAGATTGCTTGTGTGAATCTAGAGTTATCATTCTGCAAGTCGTCTTCGGAATCGCAGGCAGCAAGTACGCGGCGAGTTTTCAACCATGTATCGTTGGCGAAATCTCTGACCAAAGGCTGACCTATCCGATGCCAATCCAATCTCGCTGGGCGATAGAGACCATGGTAGGAAGTCAGTGCAGTTGAAGGGCGGTTTTCAGATAATGGTACTCGGGATTCATTATATGATGCTTCAGTGTCTAAAGATGGCGAGCTCCCATTTCCGTTCTGTGTTGCATAAGATTCGTCATACAATGGGTTCACCTGAACGCCATCCTTAGGGCCTTGCTCGATCGTGTTATACAAATGTGGTAAATTTACTGAATTCCAATCCATCATGATGATAATTTCGATAACCAAAAATGTATCAAAGAAGTATTATGTTGATGTTTGGGTATGAGTTGTACTTCGTTCGCGAAAGTAGCAGATTTGAGATGTCATAATATAGCTTAGGGTCCTTCCTATCTTGGGTTTGTTACTTATGATCTCGCTATTTCCTTCAATTTGAAAGGCACTTTTTCCTTCCAAGTTGAGTTTTAGCTCAAATTGAGTCCTTAATATGCTATTCTGATGAATGAAATCGGCAGCATAATAAAATATACACTTCCAAAACGATTCTTTTCCAAATTTCAACATTCATTATCTTGATCATCAGCGACAAAGCCGGTCTTAGCACATCGTCATCAAGCATTCGCCAGAGCCATGAAACGGGTGGTGAGAAGGATCCATCCCTATTTTTTCTCTCGCTCTGGAAACCAGGATCAATGCATACATTGTCATTTGCGATTAGCATTCAGCCAGGAGGTTAGATCAATTTGAAGGGTATATATGTAGGCTGGATACTCGTCTAATTTTCACTGATGAATTTCTCGTCAGAAAGTGTGAAAAGCCGCGAGCTTGTAGAGAATCCGAGGAGTGGTAGTCATGGCCCAATTCTAAACGAATTAGTCAACGTACGATCACTCCGAGAGATCAACAACTACAAAACATAACATGAAATCAACTTAGGTAGTCTTTGCTTACTGAAATTGAGTCCTACAGCTAGTATCGAAAACAAATCCATATTGAGCATCCATGGTATAATGAGGAATAAAAATGTATACTGTTGTCTTCACTGACCCTCGTAGTTCTCGGTCCGGTTCGATAGATTAAAGTCGAAGCCACCTATCGTCTCCCTTCATTCATACAATACAAATGCACCCGAAGCTTATTGAGTCCATCAACCGTGCCATAACAATGATCATTGAATTAGACCAATAACGCCAAATGGTTCATTCGTGTACAGACCCGCTTTTCCATTGCCAAAGTAAGGGGGCTAGTTGTGTCAACAACGAACAAATCAACAATGAAGGACAACCTTTCTAGACAGGTGATTGAGACCACCCAAATATGAGCCGAATCCAAAATCTCGTAGGAGATATTGACTGGCCAAAGCCCAAATTATTTTGCCGTCAAATTATTCCTCCATATCTTCCACTCCCTCTTCTTCTTGTTTCTCTTCCACCAAGTCTTCATCACCAGACTCGACACCCCATTCTCGCTGCCTTATCGAGCCCGGTGCTCGTAGACTATGCTTCTGCACATAAAGACTAACTTCTTCCCCTTCTCCAGCATCACTACTATGCCACTTCACCAGACCATTACGCTCTGTGACTTCAATACCCGCTTCTTCAACATCTTCATACAAGTGAATATACTCCCGATTGACGATTTTCTTCAACCCGTTCGTCGCATCTTCAACGGTTGAGAAGACGCCTTCCACAGCTGTATGATCGCCTCCAAAGGAAGTTTCATGCAAAACAACATAGACATATTGCTTGGGTGGGGCATCCGACTTCTTGGCGCGCTTTGTCTCTTGCTCAGCGGAAGGTGTGTTTCTAGAGCTAGAAGCCCTTTTGGAAGAAAGTGTACTGCTAGACATGACTATGGCTGTATACTCGATTGACGGCGGAGTTGATATTATGCTTCAGTCGGAGAGGGTACCATCAAAGTTTGCAATATTTATCTGGGATGCTCATTGATGCACGGGCCAAAACTTACCTGTCTCACTCAGTAGAAAGCTCATCAGGAGAAAGAAGTATTTGTGGAACGTCCTCACCGGGGATACACTTCTTTGCCAAAATCATCATGCACAAAGTACAAAATGTTCATAATTTGCCATCCAATCAGCATGTTCGTATATCGATGTGCTACCAGATATGGTTAGCGTTAATATGCGGGGTCTCAAAAAGTACTACGAAGCTTTGAGCACAACTCAGTAAAAGTTGGGAAGATAAACAATTAATAAAATTGACTCATGAATTGACTCATTATCAACATCACATACATATTTGAAGTGAGATCTGTAGGTGAAGTTACTATAAATTATCTCAGGACTCTAATGAAAATCATCTTATTTACATTTCTCTTCTTTCTCTCACACTGAGCTCCGATTGATCCCCAACAATTTCTACTCAATTGACATATCCCTATACTCACCACCAACAGAATGACTCTCAATTCGTTGCGCCCTGGATGTCGAGCTCTGCAGAGCTTTAGCAGAGCTCAATTGCGTTCCTACAGCCATGCATCAACACCTCTCACCTCGCCCTTCGCTCCCCGTCATCTTCTCTCCATTGCAGACCTTACTCCTTCCGAACTTACTACCCTCGTTCGCTCCGCACATTCGCACAAGCTCGCACTGAAATCTGGTGCCGTTCCTACATCTCTCCTCAACTCGTTGACTGGTAAGGTAATTGCCATGCCCTTCTCTAAACGCAGCACTCGTACCCGTGTCTCTACCGAATCTGCGGTCACCACAATGGGCGGACATCCTATGTTTCTTGGTTCCGGTGACATCCAATTGGGTGTCAATGAATCATTGTACGATACCTCAGTCGTTATTTCGAGTATGACTGCAGGTATTGTAGCTAGAGTGGGACCTCATTCAGATGTTGCTGGTCTGGCAAAGTGGTCGAGTGTACCAGTCATTAATGCTTTGTCTGACGAATACCACCCCTTACAAACTATCGCCGACTACCTCACAATCCACGAAGCATTCCCCTCGCAACCTTCCAGAAGCTCGTCACAAACTACACCAACTTTGGATTTGGAGGGAATGAAGATTGCTTGGATTGGAGACTCAAATAATGTCCTCTTCGACCTTGCAATTGGAGCAATGAAATTGGGCATCAACATTTCCGTTTCATCGCCAGAGGGTTACAAAATTCCCGAGTATATGCGCAAGATTATCCAATCTGCCGCAACTACAACAGATACTCCAGGAACACTCACAGAGGTTTCTGTGCCAGAGGAAGCTATTAAAAATGCAGATGTATTGGTGACTGATACATGGATATCTATGGGTCAAGAAGAAGAGTCAGCAAAGAGATTGAAGGCATTTGCAGGTTACCAAATCACAGAGGAAATGGCAAAACGAGGCGGTGCTAAGGAAGGATGGAAATTCATGCATTGTCTACCCAGACATCAAGATGAAGTCAACGATGCAGTATTTTACGGCCCCAGAAGCTTAGTCTTCCCAGAGGCCGAAAACAGAGTTTATTCTGCTATTAGTAAGTCTACATATCACCTTTACTTTATAAATTCCGTACTAATCAAGCATAGCTGCTCTGGAAGCATTCGTAGTCAACAAGGGTAAAATCGTATGAAGGCATTTGAGTTAGCATATATACCAAGGCGCTATCTGGAGTACAAAATCAATGGTAATTTAGGAATCACAGAGTCATATTATGATCCATGGCTCTTGTTTGAAAGTAATTATTTGATCTCATAATTATGCTACTCGCACTTAACTCTCCCGAAGTCCAGACCACAAAAACCATCTAGGTCACATCAAAATAGAGCACAAAATCCACCACCCGGGAATGAACTCGGCCATTCCTGGGGACTACTTTATTACCAGTGACAAACTCCATAGTAACCACCACATAAGTTCTAGTCAATCGAACAAATTCCACCACCATTCACCAAATAGGACTCTGCATCCAGCAAGTGCTCCGTTCCTAATAATTCATTTTTCAATCCCTCATCCCCCACCTGCACCAATCAGTACTATACTCGTCCAATGAAGCCATAGGTGAGGAAAATCGTTTAGTAGAGGCGTTGTGCCATTGTGTCTTGCAAATCTCTGACCCGAGACAAACACACTGGCATTTTTCTAGCCTGTATCCGAGGGATTCAGCCCTCCGGTTGAGATATTTCCAAATTGTGATTCGATATGCTGCGATAATCGAACTTGATTGGAAACTTCAGAGTTCCGTCGAGGCGATGTAGTTTCGTATGGGGAAGCCAGTGTTTGTGTTACCATCTTTGATGAGTGTGTTTCAAGTCGGTATTTTCAGATGAAAATGGTGTTGCGAGTAGATATAGAAGTCCGTCAAATGAACACCCGTTCTGGTACACTACCTTGGGGTTGCCTGTTTCTCAATTGACCCAGGATAGTTGATTCATAATAGGTGTAAGTCCCTACAGAACTCACTATCAATTGTTGGAAATCCTTGCAAGACCCTCCTGACATTAGTTTCTACAATTTCCTCTGTTTCCAAGGCCCTGATAGCACTAGGACTGTAGCCTTCATTCGATCTTTTCAAATATTCATCATACACATCATCATACACCTCAGAATGGTAGCGCTCTACGAAAGCATTCACTTCCTCTGTGAGTGTGGTAGGCCGTGTCACCATCTCTGCTCTCCATTTGTCAACCGCTCGTTGATAGCTTTGATGGGCTTCTGCATCGTCCTCCTCAGTCTCGTAGTCTCCCAGGAGCTCGGCTACATTGAAGTACCCATCCTTGCTCACGTCCCTATCTAGGAGTTCGCTCAAGGAGCAATACTCTGCATCGTCTTCGCTGATCCCAAATCGCCAATTCCACGCCCCCTCAATAAATGCGGTTAGCTGATAGCCCAACCAGACCCACGGTGCGCGGCAATGTCCACATGTGATGTCGGGCTGTCCATCCATAAAGTTTGTGTCGGCCCAGGTCCAAATGCACTGCAGATGGAAATTCTGTCCACACTGGCCCATACACCACGTCTTGGATGCATTGCCTTCGAGATTCTCGAGGCAGATTGAACAAGTTCCCTGTTCCTCGATTGACTTTGGTGGACAGAATTTACCAGTTGGCACTGGACCCATCCAATCAACATCATCTCCCACCATGCATCTGAGCTCAGCCTCCAAGAAGGCAGATTGGTGACGAAGTGGCGCTGGTAGATGCAGGAATTTCGTGAGGATCTACGATTGAGACTGTTAGCCATCGCTCATTTTTTGATACGTCAATAAATAAAAATACCTACAAAGACAATATGAACGCAGAGTATACCTCTATTGCCTTCATAGCAATTACATCTTGGTTTCTTTTTCAAGATAACGGTGTACACATTACCGCTGGTACCGAGAACAGCGAGATGTCTCAAGAACTGAACGTCATCTTTGAATCCTACACAAGCCCATTCTTGAAGACAATGCAGTTTCTGAGTTCGAGCATCCTCAAGCAAGTATTGGAATCTGATTGTAGGTTCCGAAAGAAATGGTTCAAGGCGTTTCTCTTCTACCAACACAATTCTGTCACCAATGTACGCCTGGGACATGGTGGCTGCACCTTCTTTCTCGTCGCTGGAATCCTCAAATGTGAGGTCAACAAATTTACGGTTCGCGTTGGGTTGAGAATTTTGGACAGGTAGTGCTGCGACGGCTGGAAGCACACTTGGGGCTGGTGACAACGCAGCATCACCCTCTTCTTCGTCGCTTGAATCTTCCAACGTGAGATCAATGTATGGTGTATCTCCAGGCGTCAAAGCAATTTGGTTAGATGGTGCTTCGATAGCTAGAAGTACGCTTGAAACTGGTGATGAAGTAGTCTCTGAACCCTGGTTTTCGACGGCTGAAGCTTCGTTTGATGTAGGTGATGCAGCAGCTTCTGCATTTCTGTTTTCGATGGGGACTGCTGGCGTATGGACAGAATTTTGACGTTCACTTCTGCGTCTGACCTTTCGTGGGCGTTCATCTCCACTAATGTCAGCATCATAGCCGGAGGTGTCTTCATATGAGCGTCGTTGTGAAGTAGACTCATGAGATTGATGAATGGCGCTTGCTTGAACTATATGGTTAGCTCTTGAGGGAGAGCTAACTGGAGCTGATTGAGTGATATTGGGATTGGGAGCGGTAGTGGGAGCGGGAGCACCAATATTGGCAAAAGTGCTCGAAATTTGCTCTTGCTCCTGCCTGGACATTGCGTGGCGACCAGAACGGATTCGTGATTGCCTGCTTCGAGGAGGCGCCGTTACATTCTGAGCTGGTGTATCGATGGCCATTTCTGAATCAAAATTCTCAATTGAATCAGAATCACCGACTCTAACTCTTTGAGCTCGTGGTTCTTCGTTATCCGAATCCGAATCCAGATTGCGTGAGCGCTTTCTGTTCTCTAGGAGAGGAGCTAACTAGGTATCAATATCCATTGAGGGGGTGGATAAAGAAGGGTCGCTGGCTGTGGTTGACTCGGAACTGCGACTCATTCTGGATGATTGAGAAGGCATTTTTTGTGAAGTTGAATGATTGGAGGCGAACAAAGGCGAGGGCAATTGTTAGAAGTTATATCTCAAGAGATATTAGCAACTGAGTAACAACTTCCTGAAAAAGAGATTATCAAGAGAAAACTGTGGTATTTAAAAGTATCGAAGAAAGACAATACGAAAATGTAAAATTGATTTGTAGAAGAATCTTAGTTGATCAGAAAGTTATTTGTAGACGACTTTAGATGCTGTTCAGATACTTAAAATATTGTGTGGGAGAGTAGGAGGAAAAGAAACTTATATAAGAAATCATGGGAGGCATGGTTGAGAAAATCAGTAATTCACAGTACCGCCAGCGCTAGAGGATATAATTCACTGGTTCTGGTACGATTACTTATAGATGGAACGTGGAAGACTTGATTGAAAAGTGAATATATATCGGAAGAGATGGCAGTAGAATTGCACATCCAGCCATCTCTTCCGTTGATGAATGCTATCTTATCTGTAACTTCAAGATATTCTTTCCTATGGATATTCCAAGGAATTCAATTTTGATTCAAAACTAGATCTGGGAATAGCATGGTCTTTCCTCATCGCTCAAATTGCGGGCAATTCACTTTATAGTCCTTCAATAGCATCACTTACGATTGTCAACTCCCACGTTTTCCGACTATGCTAAATTGACTTCAATATAACTATATGATAGAGTAACACATTTTGATAAGGTTGATTTCGAAATCGACTTGTCCGCAATGGCGAGATCGAAGTATTGATAGCTAACCCTTTGCGTGTTATTGGAATTACTTCTCAACAATCATGAAAAGATGAATCTCATTTTTACAATCTACAAAGCAAATTTCAATATAAACATTGCTACTGAGATGATAAACTATCCTTACTCTTCCATAAATTTGCTCTGAATCGTTTCCCCATCAAGTGAAGTTGTTAAGACAATCGGAACCAGCACAATGCTCAACTGCGGCCCGTAAATACTTTCACCGATATCCAACTATCAAGGACCCCAAAGGAGTTCAAATTATAACCAGAAAAAGAAAACTTCACTGGCATTTTCAAATACTGTTTTCCGGGTGTGTGCGATGCTTTCCAGATACATAATCTGAGGTATTGTTCCCATCTTTCCAGGAGGCGCCACTGCAACGGGCGATCAGAATAGAACTCAGAAACGAACAGAAAACTGATTACACAAGTTGGAGCCAGTCACTATTTTAGTAGGGTATTGATATCTCATCAACATTCTACAATGTTTAAAGGGTATGTTTCAATTTAGGTATTGGATGGCATTGTTGAGATCTAGGTACCCCTAAGATTCCTTTCAATTTATGAAGCCAGTAGAATTATGAATGTGACTCTGAAGATACCTGTATCTGGAACGACTGATCCGCTTCTGATTTCTTCTTCAATCTCATATACATAATTTGTATTTTAGATCTATATCAAGTAAATTTCAGTACTTCAATATCAATCAGCTTGCTCAGGCAACTTCGTTATCGCCGGTAAGCTTAGAGTCAGTCTGGGACCTACATAGCGGCCATGCCTAGACAAAAGGGCCCCAAAGAATCTCCTTTATAATCAACTTGGCGATACAAATCATCGCAGTGAAACATCATCTCCTTTTTGAAGCGAACCCCTCCTTTCCTCACACCCCACCCGAACTTTTCCCGACAAGGGCGCACGAGATGCCCTCCACATCTATCAATATGCACCGTCCCAATATCAAAACCCCACTTCTCCCCTCTTCATAAATCACATCACCATCCCCGATTCCAATTTCAACCGTCGATTATCTTCTCTCAAATGTCCTCCTCGCGCTTAAGATTTGTACCTGGCAAATTATATCCTAAACAACTTACGTCTTATATTACCCGTCCATACCCAGCAGTAAATATCAGGAAGATGTCTTCAGCAGCAGCACCAGCGGAGAAGTTTGAGTGGTTGGTTGTGTTACCTGATAATGAGGGGGCGTTGGAGAGAAGAGTTAGTGTTAGACCGTGAGTTCTCCTGGGGATATGATGGGTTATGTGTGAGAAGTTACGTACGAGAAATTTCCCCGAGGTGCTTTGTTTTGAGGAACTATGCATGAGAAAGTGGTGATGTGAGCTTGAGATGTATAGGAGCTAAGAAGTTGATAGCAAGCATTTTGAAGGTTTAAAGACCGGTCTTGAGTCTGGATTCTGGAAGATGGGCGGTAAGTTTCACCATTTTCTCTTTATCTACGTCGTCCTTGAAAACGTTCCGCTGAAAAACTCCACCAGGCGCCTTTCTCTCCGAGCCTCCCACCGGTGACTCTCCTTTGAAGTTCCAAGGAAGTTGCATGATCGCTCTTGCCAGCAGCAAGGAGGAAGTCATTGAGGTATTGAAGAAGGACATTTATGCCGAAAATGATGTTTGGGATTTCAGCAAGGTATGTTTTCTATCACTATCGCAAACTTTTGTGATCGCGGGTTAAGAAGTTATGGGTTTGGGATTGATTACTGATGTGTGTGCAGATCCAAATCTATCCCTTCAAGTGTGCATTCAGGAAGGAAGCGTAAAAAGTTAAGGTTGATTTAGTTGGGCAAATCACTTATATGAGGGTTTCGATCGAGCGCGATATCATTATTTGAGCTTTCCCCAGTATTCATAACAGTTAAGATAACAGAAGAGTGTGTTAATATTTTAGTAAATGAATCGAGCCATCATCAAATTTGCTTCATGCCCTCTAGTAAAGGAACTGTGTGAGCATCACTCTTGAATGTTCCGGACAAATTTAGCTTCTTTTTGAATAATCACGACTATTACGGATGGATAGTCGGGCGACTGACAAAAGATATAACATGGAGCCAGTGTCCAGAACGAAGAAGCAATGACGATGTATGAATGCTAGTAGGAAGATTAGGATATCCCCAAGGTAATTTTGAGATAACACAAAATGGAAGAAAATTAGTCGCAAAGGGTGCCAGCGAGATGGATGAATTGACGACTTGTGAGATGATGGAACAGATTTGGAAGAAGTGAATGTTGTGCAGGATATGGGTGGGAGTAGAAATAACATGGAGTGCCGACACATTAGTAGTAGTTAGCGAGGGCTTGTAGACAAAGATTGCAAAACACCACGAGACGACATTGCGGATTGCTGGTGCAGTGTACTCATACAGAAGACTTAAAATCCTGTTTGAAATACTTGAATTGGATTCTTCGATCTGTTTCTCCAAAGCACATGTCTTGGAAGCCTCGAATGAGGCTCGTTTGATATCATTCTTTGACATCTCAGTCCACCTTCATCATACATAATCACGGCGTGTTCATGCACTCGGCAGTATAGATGGAACCAAGTTTTTTATCTTTCGGAAGAATTCATGAATGCTTGCTTATTTATGGAAGCTACCCTACCAGCCCAATATTGCACCGAGGGAATATAAACCGTGGCCATGCATTTGAAAGTACGGAGAGAAAAGGTGAGATAGATATTTAATCGAAGAGACCGAAACCCATATCCTCGTCTGACTCCTCCTTGGCTATTGAAATAGTTAGTATATGAACTCTCCAAAATGCGCGCGGTTGTAGGAATTATCGTACCCTCTTCTTTCTCTTCCTTCTTCTCCTCAGCTGGGGCAGAGGCGTCACCGCTGGCAGCGGCACCAGCAGCAGCTGGAGCGGCTCCACCACCGGATCCGACGTTCAACAAAAGGTCCTTAACATCCTTTCCCTCGAGAGCCTATTAATTCCAACAATCAGCACTGCCCATAGTTGCTCATTCCTCAACTCAGTTGTGTGAATTTCAATCGCATACCTTGGCGAACAATGAGGTCCAGATTGGCTCAACATCTTCAATACCGGCGGCCTTGATGAGGGTTTGCAATTTGTCGGCCTGTTAATATCTAGTCAGTCACTTATCCACCCAATCGAGTATTCTCGTTTCTCAATCTCGAGAATGTAGGAATTCGTACAGTGATATCGACACCGTCATCGGCGAGGATCAACGCGGCGTAAGAGCTGGCGAGTTCTGCGTTAGACATTTTGAATATCTAGAATTGATAAATTAGCAAGAGGCGCAGTAAATGGGAATGCGACTGCGTATATGCGACGTACCGACAGATGGTTGTTTTGTCGGTAGGTTGATGTTCTTGAAGTCGTCGATGGAAAGGATTAAAAGTTTATGGTGGGAGAGTTTTGGGAAATTCGAAAGTGTGCGTGACTAATATCTTGTCAGGGTTTAATTGGGCAGCAAGCGATAATTTACGGGGAGCCACTTTAACCAATGAAATGCACATGCAACTTATTATTATCTAATCATCTTCTCTCTTTCATTTCTACCAATTCTCACATTTCCAACATAAAATAACAAAATACATAGGTACTGGGAGACTGGGTAGGTAGGTATTCAATACTTAAATAAATACTCTTCCATCAATCATCATGATGTCTCACTGTTGGCTCACCTTCGTCGTCGCTTGCCAAGGCACTGTGATATGGTGTTTGTACAGAGAATCACAACATCTCTCGACGGTAGGTGTATGTAAGGTACACATGACATGCGATTTGACCTTGTTGCTATCGCTGGTTTCACAAGCAAAAAATCGGTATCAGAATTGGTTCACCGTAAATGCAAGGCTGAGATTCTCTTTGTGGAACTTGCCCCGCCTTCCAACCCATCCAATAAGGGAAATATTATGACATAGCCAGTAGCTCTTTACTAAGAAACAGCCTATTGGGATCAACAATATTCTATCGATTTCTAACTTACTGATTCATCAATAGCGAATGATAGTAATAAGCTCAAACTATATCATCAGTACTTCGATTATTTGCAACTTTCAAAAACACGAATCAAACGATTAAAGTCTTCCAACAAGATACAAGCAAGCCATCAAAGTCCAGACCTCAACTCACCCAACAACATTCATCATGACTGATACCCCATCCCATCCGCTACCCCTTGATCCTCGCGAGCAGCCTATATTGGAAGCGCTCACTTCAATACGGGACGAATTGACTCTTCTAAAGCAAGATAGAACAACGTATAT